TTTTTGGTTTCTTGGGATATATTCCTAGAAGTGGGATCACAGGGTCAAATGGGAGTTCCATGTTTTGTTTTTTGAGGAAACTCCATACTGTCTTCCATAGTGGCTGCACCAGTCTGCATTCCCACCAGCAGTGCACAAGTGTTCCTTTTTCTCCACATCCTCTCCAGCACTTGTCGTTTGTTGATTTGTTGATGATAGCCAGTCTGACAGGTGTGAGATGGTACCTCATTGTTGTTTTGATTTGCATCTCTCGGATGATTAGTGACTTTGAGCATGTTTTCATATGTCTCTTGGCTTTCTGAATGTCCTCTTTTGAAAAGTGTCTATTTAGGTCCTTTGCCCATTTTTTGATTGGATTGTTTATCTTCCTTTTGTTAAGTTATATGAGTTCCCTGTAAATGTTGGAGATTAGGCCCTTATCAGATATGACATTGGCAAATATGTTCTCCCATGCAGTGGGCTTTCTTGTTATTTTATTGATGATTTCTTTTGCTGGGCAGAAGCTTTTTATTTTGAGGTTTTGATAGAGATTGCATTCAATTTGTAGATTGCTTTGGGTAGTGTGGACATTTTAACAATATTATTTCAATCCATGAGCACAGAATATTATTCCATTTCTTTGTCTTCAATATCTTTCATTAATTACCTTACTGTCTTATAATCTTTAGGGTACAGGTCTTTCACCCCCTTGGTTGAAGTTATTCCTAGGTATATCTTTTTGATGCATTTATTTCTTATTATTATATAGAAATTCAACAGATTTTTGGTGTTTGTTTTGTTTTCAAATTATAAGAGAAAACATAGAAAGATAGAAAAGGTGAACCAGCTGGGCTGTTTGGGCTCAGGAAACCAGTTATAGAGGCAAAAGAAAGGCAGAGAGAACAGGCCTGGGGGGAGGCGTGGGCATGCTCCAAAGAGAGAAAAGGTGCTTCAACAGGATTTTTTGTATATTGATTTTTGTGTCCAGCAACTGTTCTGAATTTATTACTTTTAACAGATGACAATATATATCCTTGTCCTGTTCCTGATCATAGGGGCAACGCTTTCAACTTTTTACCATTGGGTATGATGTTAGAGCTGTGGGCTTGGCATACCTACTTTAAGAGTTTTTATGATAAATGGATGTTGAAATTCGCCAAGTGCTTTTTCTGCATGTAATAAGATAAGTATGTGGTTTTGATCCTTCATTTTGTTAATGTGGTATATCACTGATTGATTTGTGGATGTTGAACCATCCTGGCACAAAACAAGATGACTACTCTCACCACTTTTATTCAACATGGCAATGAAAGTCCTAGTAAGAGCAATTAGGCAACATAAAGAAATAACTATCCTGGCATGCCTGGAATGAATCCCACTTGATCGTGGTGTATGATCCTATTAATATATTCTTAAATTTGGTTTGTTAATATTTTATTGAGGATTTTTGTATCTTTGTTGGCCTGTAATTTCCTTGTGGCATCTTCTCTGGTTAATGTTGGCCTCATAAAATGAGTTTGGAAGTCTTTCTCTTGAGACAATTTCAAATGTAGAGAAAGGTTGCAAATATAGTACAAAGAACTAAACTATTTGAGAATATGTTACTGACATGATGCCCCGTCATCTCTGAATACTTTAGTGTATGTTTTCTACAAACAAGAAATACTAGGTTATCAAAATATAACTATTAATACCAGAAAATAAATGATAGTAATGTATCATCTAGTTTTTAGACCCTATTCAAGTTCTGCCAAAAGTCCCAGCCACATCCCAATAACATCTAGTTTGTTGTTTTTGGTTTTTTTAAATATATTTTTATTGATTTCAGAGAGGCAGGGAGAAGGAGAGAGAGAGAGAGAGAAACATCAATGATGAGAAATAAACATTGATTGGCTGCCTCCTGGTTGCCCCCTACCAGGGATCAAGCTCGCAACCTGGGCATGTGCCCTTGACTGGAATGGAACCTGGGACCCTTCAGTCCACAGGCTGACACTCTATCCACTGAGCCAAACCAACTAAGGCAACATCTAGTTTTTTAATCACATGCTGTCCATTAAAAAATTATACACAAATGTTGATAGGATTATTCATAATCACAAACCCAAATGAGTATTAACTGATGAACAGGTAAATGAAATTTGGTATATCCATACAATGGAATATTATTCAGCCTACAAAAAGAATGAAGTATTAATACATCTTAAAACATGGATGAACCTTGAAAACATTATGCTAATGTTTTCAGTCACAAAAGACCATATATTATGAGTCTATTTATAGGAAAGCTCCAGAATAGGCAAATCCATAGAATGAAAGATTAGTATTACCTAGAGATTGGGGTTTTTGGTAGAGGGAATGAAGAGTGAATATTATTGGATGCATTTCTTTATGGGGTTATGAAAATATTCTATATTGTGTGTGTGTGGATCTAGTTTTATTTATTTTTTATTTTTATTGATGTAAGATTGGTTTTTTACAACATTATGAGTTTCATGTGCAATATTATTATTTGATATACTACATCATGCTCACCAACAAAAGTCCAGTTTCCATTTGTCACCATATAATGGACGTCTTCTACCTGTTTTGCCCTCCCTCCACTTTGCTTCTCTTCTGGTAACCTTCTATTTGTTGTCTGCCTCTGTAAATTTCTTTTTATTTTGTTGTCAGTTTGTTCATTTGTTTTGTTTTTTAAATATTACACATATAAGTGATATTTGTCTTTTTCTATCTGACTTGTTTCACTTAGCATAATATCCTCAAGTTTAATTCGTGTTTTTGCAAGTGGCAGGATTTTACCGTTTTATGGCTGAGTATTCCATGGTGTATATATACTAAATCATCTTTAGTCATAATTTGATGGACATTCAGGCTGTTTCCATATCTTGGCTGTTGTAAATAATGCTGCAATGCACATAAGTGTGCATGTCTTTTCTAATTTGTGTTTTTGTATACTTTGAATAAATATCCAGAAGTGGAATAGCTGAATTATATGGTAGTTTTATTATTTTAAATTTATCTTTATTGTTCAAAGCATTACAGATGTCCCCTTTTTCCCCATTGACCCCCCTTTACCCCTCCCACCCAGGCCTTCACCACACTATTGTCTGTGTCCATGGGTTATACATATATGCATATAAATTCTTTGGTTAATCTCCACACACACCCCAACCCCTGCCTTCCCCCTGAAATTCATCAGTCTGTTCCATGCTTTGATGTCTCTGGATCTATTCTGTTCATCAGTTTATTTTGTAGCACCATACAAATTTTAGGATTATTCTGTTTTTGTGAACAAATGCCTTTGGGATTTTGATAGAGATTGCATTGAATCTGTAGATTGCTCTAGGTATTATGGGCATTTTAATAATATTAATTCTTCCAACCCATGAGCATGGAATATCTTTCTATTTCTTTGTGTCTTCTGCAATTTATTTCCACAATGTCTTATAGTTGTCATGTCTTCTACCTCCTTGGTAAAATTTCCAGGTAAAATATGTGTTAAAATTAGATGGTGGTGAGGATTGCACATCTTTGTGAATAAACTAAAAACATTTACTCATATACTTTGAAAGGTTGAAGTTTATGAGATGTGAATTATGTCTCAGTTGTTATTTTTAAAAATTTACCCATAATGTATCTTTAGTCTCCTTCAATATGGAACAATTGTTCAGTCTTTTCTTGATATTTTTGAAAATTACAGGCCAGTTCTTTTGTAGATTGCTCCTCAGTTTTAGTTTGTCTGATCTTTCCTTACAATTACATACAGCTTATGTATCTTGGCCAGAAATATCACAGAGGGATACTGTGTGCTTATCGTTGTGTGTTATCAAGTGGTACATGATTTTAATTGTCCCAGTGCTGGTCATGCTCAATATGGTCACTTGGTTAAGGTGTTATATGTCAGGTTTATCTCCTATAAAGTTATTCTTTTTCCTTTTAAATAACTTTACTTTGTGAAAAGTTACTTTGAAAGGGTGTAATTATCCCACTCTTTATCAAACATTTATTCATTTATATCAGCATGTTTTCATATTTGATTTGCCATGTTATGATCCATTACTAAAGTATCTATTTTGATGTCAAATTATTCCAGATTTGACCAGTGGGAACACCATCACACTGCTTCTGTGTTCTCTCGGTGTGACCCTTTCATTCTTTGACCACTTCCTTACTCTCTGGTACAAGATGCTGCTCCAGATTTCTCTTTATTCTGCCTTTCCCCACTCTACCACCAGCCATTTTTCAAAGAAGCCTGGTTTCTCTTAGTGAAGAATGATATTTAGAGACCACAATTTGAGCTCTAAGATGGGCTCATTGCTCTTTGGATGTCACTGCTCCCAAGTCCCTCAATGGACAGGGCTAGAGACTATATGTATGATTATGTGTATACATACATTTATGTCTATGATTTTATATATTATCTGTTGGTCTGTCTCTATATCTATCTATTCACCCATCCATCCATCCATCCATTGAAAATCCATGAATTTTATAGGGATATTTTTACTTCAATCCAACTACATTGGTTTATTCTAGATTTCTCCATTTCCACATTTGTAACTCCCTTCTCTGAGAATAAGACACCTGACTTCTATTATCCTTAAGATAGTTACCTATATGATCAAATCATTGTGTAAAACCAGTCTTCCATTTACAACCACTGCCCTCTCCCTGTGTATGTCCTTCTCACACCACTCAAGTTCCGGCACACCCCCACTTCTTCTTGAGCTTAGCTAATGGGCTTGGACTGAATTGTTTAAGAAGGGAAGGGGGATAGGATTAAAAGGGAGAGAAAGCTAGCTTTCTCTTGTGATTTATAATTTAGTGAATTATACTAATAGGTTTTTCTAATATTGACTCATCCTTGGACTTTCATAACGTGCCCAGCTGTGATTTTTCTGCTCTTTCATTTAAGATTTCTTGATAAGTTAATTTATTTTTATGACTTGACAAAATTTTTGAATGCTAGAAATTTTCTTAGATATTCCTTTAATTTCATTCTCTTTGATTGATTTCTATAGGGGCAATACAAAGCTTTCTCATGGCTTCCTTGCAGTTTTCCAGTGCCTTTGATTTTGGAAATGCTACCAGCATGATGACTGCATTTTCAGTGGTGGACATTGTTATATGCCTCAGAAGCAAGGACTTACAAGAATATCCCTACTTCCCAGTGGTAATGTATGACTCTCACCATAAGCGATACAGTTATTTATAATACTGTAGTGAGTTTTTTCATAGAAACAAAACAGAGATTGTTAACATTTCCTGAAGTTTCCAAAAAATAAAAAAGAAAGAAAATAGAATGCAACTAAATGCCTATTTGTCAGTATAGCATTGAAAGGAACCAGCCTAAGGAATAATTGGTGAGTCAACCAATACCAAAACCACAATCCTTCATCTTCTTCATAACCAGCCTGACAGAAAAGACTTATTGAAAAGATAAATCTGCTTTGGAAAGCATTTACATTTTAAGCAGAGATGGAATTTGGTGAAATGCCATGTAGATATTCATTATTCTACAAATCATAATTATTGTCAGTGACCTGAAACCTGGAACAGGTATTAATGGTTAAATAATGTTCATAGTTTTGTTCTTCAAGACTGCCTTTGTCCTCCACCCAATTATTACCGTTGCCTTGGATTCTCTAGGCCTGAAGTGCATAAGTTGCTTATATTTATTGGGGTAGTGTTTACATTTGGAGGCACCATCTTCCTCTGACAGAAAACAAATCCCGAATTGCTGTCCTTTTTATATTTATTTTTTCATACTTTCTTCCCTATATAACACCAACCTCTGGCCATTTCTGCTTAAAGAAGATACTATTTATTATGTATGTAGATTCCTCCAAAAAGATCTACATATGCCTGTGTACTCATGCACATGTGTACACACATATATAATCACATGTTCTGTATATGTTTATATATTTTTTCTCACTCCCTCCTGAAAAACCATTTGAGTAAAACCAAAGCTAATAAGAGATGAGGGTAGGATAGATGATATGTTTTGTTTATGAGATTGAAATTTATTTTAGCATGAGCACTTGACCCTTGGGGAATTGTGCCCCTGTGCGAATTGCATGCTTTAGCTATGTCACTGTTTCTGCTAACTCAGAGGGTAATCTAATTATCCAAATAAAAGTAATGTCTGAAATCAAAGAATAAGTAGAATTTGCATTCTGAAAGCATGCTCACTTGCAAACTGGTAGGTCACATTCTTTTCAGAAGTGCATTCACTGGAATATTGATTGAGCCTATGATTATAACATTTTTTCATTCATTCAACAAATATTTATGTATTTGAGAGCCTTCATGTCTGGACACTATCCTGGATGTATTAATACACAAAGACAAAGATGATTCTAGTTTTTATAGTAAGGAAGGGAGAGGGAGAGAGAGACAGAAACATCAATGATGAGAGAGAATCATTGATCGGCTGCCTCCTGCACACCCCACACTGGGGATCATAGCCACAATCAGGACATATGGCCCGACCAGGAATCAAATTGTGACCTCCTGGTTCATAGGTCGATGTTAAACCACTGAGCCATGCTAGCAGGGTCCAAACATGATCTTGATGGTAAACTTAACTAATTTTCCAGAAACAAAACCCCTGAATTTTAGTATTTTCCATTTTTTTTTGGTGTATAAATACTCCCATATTAGCAAATTCCAAGCTATCCATGTTCTGTATTGGCTGGTACATAGAAAGAGATTTTAAAATATATAAACCATCATCTTCATATCTTGATCACAATTATGAATAAGCTTGCTTTAAGAACATACTGAAAAGAAACTCATGATCAATAGTGCAATTTGTCTACAATATACTAGTGTACGTAGGGGTATGTGTGTATAAAGGTGTATGAAAGCTGAGAATGGTCTGAAAGGATACACTGGACTTGGTAAGCTTACCTTAGAAAGATGGGGAACTGAGGGAAAGTTAGGCAACACAGTGGGATTTTTTTTCTGTTTACTAAACATCTGTAAAGTTTGAATTTTTATGAGTATGTATTTTTATAATTTTTGAAGAAAGAATTTGCATTGCTCCAATTGAGGAAGCATACTAGTACCTCTCACATAATATTGGTCAAATGTATAGTGGATGCAAGGCACTTATTCTGAGAGTCAGACACTAGAATATATGAATGATTGTTAAATTATTTTCCTGGTGAAAAGTGACACACTCTGTTGACAGATGATAAAACAGAATTAAGACATTTGATAAGTATTCCAGTAGCTATAGGACAAACCACCTCGAAACAGTAACTTAAGACAATGACAATATTTATTTTGCTCACAGGTTTGTAATTTGGGTGGGGAGTGGCAGGGACAATTTTTCTCTGAAGATTGAAGAATCACTCATGAATCTGATGGTGAATACTGGCCGTTGGCCGGGACCACCATGGGGCTGTGTATCCCAAGAAAGAGCCGGGTGGAAGCTATATCCCCTTTTATGACCTGACCTTGGAAGTGTCACAGCATCACTTTCTCTCTTATTCAAGGTACTCAGAAGGCATTGCCCAAGTGCAAGAAGAGAAATAGACTCCATCTTTTTAGGGGAAAGTAACAAGTTCCGCAGGTATGCGTGGGAATGGAAATATGAACATGGCCATTTTGGGAAAATACAACCTGGCACCGTGAGTCCTCTTCTTTGCGATGTCATCTGCACCACACATCTGCAGAGCAAAGAGGGAAAATGGGTCAGATCCTCTCAGCTGCCCAGCTGAATGTGAGTATTGCAACGTCACCTTTACTCCAAAAACCATATTCATGTATTGTGAAAACTGTCATTCATATCAAGTAAATTCAAAAGAATTTTTAATATTATAGGATTATATTTCCCATGCCTAGCATAGCCCTGGTTTTTAAAGTAACTTTCCTGTGTACTGTCCAATTTATCTTAATCTAAAAAGGCATACTGATAAATTACAGGGATGGTGAAAGTCTACCTTTGCTCTGTCTGACTCAGGAAATGTGGGTTTGTGTTATTTTTGTCTCTAAGCTTACTTCTCAAATTCAAAAAAAGAGCACAGAAAGAAGATTCATGAAAATGAATGTTTTGCAGTGGAATCTCAAACATTCCTCTTAAATGCACATCAGTATCTGATTCGGTTGGTTGCCCTTTTGTTTTGTTGATGGTTTCTTTTGCTGTGCAGGAGCTTTTTGTTTGATGTAGTCCTGTTTGTTTATTTCTAGTTTGTTTCCCTTGCCGTTGGAAACAAGTTCACAAAAACACCACCACTGCGCTGATGTCCAGAAGCTTTAGTGCCTGTTTTCTGCTGTGCATTTTATTGTTTCGGGTCTTACATTCAAGTCTTTAATCCATTCATTTTGAGTTAATTTTTGTGTATGGTCTAAAGTAGGTTCAGTTTTCCCAGAACTATATATTAAAGAGACTTTTCTTCCTTCATTTATATTCTTGGCTACTTCATCGTAAATTAGTTGTCCATATTTCTAGGCTCTCAGTTCTGTCCCATTGGTCTATGTGTTGGTTTGTGTGCCAATACCAGGCTGTTTTGGTTACTATATCTTTGAGACCTCCAGTTTTGTTCTTTTTTCTCGGGATTGCTTTGGCTATTTGTGGTTCCATACTAGGATTATTCTATTTCTGTGAAAAATTCCATTGAGATAGAGATTGCACTGAATCTATAGAGTGTTTTAGGTAGTATGGACATTTTAACAATATTAATTATTCAAACTGTCTTCCCATTTTTTGTGTTTTCTCCAATTTCTTTCAACAATGTCTTTTTTCCAGGATACAGGTCTTTCATCTCCTTTGCTAAGTTTGGTCCTAGGTATTTTACTCCTTTTGATGTGATTGTGAATGTTTTTTCCATTTCATTTTCAGATAGTTTGCTGCTAGTAGATAGAAATGCAAGAGATTTTTGTATGTTGATTTTGTATCCTGAAACTTTACTATATTTGCTTACTATTTCAAGTAGGTGTTTTGGTGGAGTCTGTGGGATTTTCTATATATAAAATAATGTAACCTGCAAATTAGTCATAGTTTTATTTCTTCCCAATTTGCATGACAATTAGTTACTTAGGTTAAAAACCTTAGAAGGTTAAATCTATGGGAAATTTTAAAGGTGTCCAGCCAAAGCGTTGGCTAGGGGCTATATCCTCTAAGAACCTTCTTCTAGCTTTAGGTCTAGAGTTCTGCTTTGCAATCCTTCCATCTGATGATTATTGGATGTTCTTAGACACTTCCTGCCCCATTATTTTGACCTGAAGAAAGCAGCCTTTAAGCCAACTTAAATGTTCTAGATGCCATAGGTGAATAAGTTACTTAATGCTCAGCAAAGTATAGAATTATTTGGGGATCAGACCAACTGTAGCTCAAGCCTCAGTTCTACCACCTCTCAGGTTTGAGGTGGTCAAGTTACTCCACATCTCTGAGCCTTATTTGTTTATTCAGATCATTCACAAAATGATCAGTGTAAGTGAGGTTTGCACATCTAGAATGTGCTGGCACTAGCCTGTATGCTGAGCCTACAGTACTAAACAAAACAGATATCGGCCCTGCTCTGAGAGGGCTCAGTTCCTGCCAACACACGAGAATGAATTACCAATTACAGTCAGAAGATAAGTTCTCTGACAGGGATAGCCCAGGCTTAGAAATGGGCACACTGTGCGGGCAAGCCTTTCGGGTATATTATATCAAAGCTGAGATATGAGGACTGACTAGGAGTTGTCAGGCGGTTAAGAGTAACTACTAAATGCCTTAACTTTCTTCCAGTAAAATGGGGACGCATCTACCTTGAGGCGGTATATTGAGAAACAGAGACATGAATATAATAACACCAGAACTATGCTTGACCGTTCAGTATTGGGCCAGAAAACATGTATTGAATGGGTACCACCCTAGGCAACGGGGATTCAAATGAGTAGGATGCCTTCCCAATCCTCCTGGGCCTTCAAGGCTGCATGTCTAGCTCTTTCTCCTTAGACCCTGTTACTGCTCTTGCCCCACTGTCTTGTACTTGCCTCTTCACATCTTGAGATCACCAGCTTAGTGAGGTCAGAAATGCTTCTCTTTTGTTCACTATTGTATCTTGAACACTTAGTTGTTCCTAGTGTCTGGGGAACCTTTGCCTTTTGTCTTATCCCCTGTCCTTGGGGCCCTGCCATATCCTTTATCCCTCACCTTTTCAGCTTACACCGGCCCAATGTTCAACCACCAGCTCACACATGAGGGAGGGAGAAATGGGGTTGGGAGAGTTAAGCCGCACCCCAGCTGCTCCCAGCAGGGTTGGATGACTCTGAGACATGTGCTTTCGTTATCCCACAGCAATGGCTCATTGATCATTTATCCTCCATTGTCTGTTTTCCCTTCCTTATCTTATTTCCCTCACTTCCACACCAGTGATTCCCCCAACTCCCACATACACTTGAGTCCTTGTCTCAAGGTCTGCTCAAACAGAATGTTCACTTAGCATCCAAATCCCTCGCCTATATTTAGGGAATTCTGCTACCTCTAAAAAGTACATACATCTCCCATGAAAAGAACTGAAAATGTCAGATGCATGTATAGCCAGGGGTGGACACACTACCTTGTCTTTGTCAATCAGACACACCTATTCCGCTCAGTAATGTCATGAAGAAGCAGGAAATGCCCAGATTTGATTCTGTTGACAGATAGTGGCAGAGACAACAATTTGAATGGGTGGCACATGTGGTGTGACCAAGACCAGGGCTTCACCCAAACAGCGGACTCGGAGGGCTTTGAGCACTGCTCCTTCCCTCTGGTCTCAGGGCACGGATCTTTGGTCCCCTCAGATTCTTTGATCTCTCCAGTAGCATTCGGATAAATGTCTTTCCTGCCAGTGTCAAGGTTGGTTTTTGTAGCTCATAACTAAGAATGCTGTCTTTCTGTGTCAGTCAGGATAGAGCCAGGTTTTTCAAGCAGATGAGATTTCATACAGATAATTGGTTAAAAAGGGAATAGAAAAGCTGGACAGCCAAATGGGGAGCAATGAGGCACCCCACAGATCAGTCACAGCTAGAAGCTGCCATCACCTCTAGGGCTGGAGGAACAGTGGAGGAGGGGCGCCCACTGTCTGACAGGAGCTGGAACCACAGTAAGGACTGCTGGACGGGTGACCAGTGAAGCGCCACAGGAAGGAGGGGAGGGGAAGAGAATATCTGGCCTTCTTCCACCCATCCTCCAATGGTACACCATAGCTCTCATAAATTGTAAGTAAACAGTAGCACAGAGCAGAACAGGGGGCAGGCCAAAAATAGACTCGAAAGCCAACCAGCAGTTGACATGCACATGTCATAAGAGCTCAAATACTTGGTGGCTGAAGGAAGAGAATAAAGCAAGGAGAGGGCTGGGATCAGAACTTTGTACAATACCAACTCTTAAGGGGAATGAGAGGAGAAGTAATCAGAGAGATAGGGGGAAACCAAGGCAAAGCTCTGAAGCAATAAAACCTGCCAGATGCTTAACTGGATTTCCACCAAACAGACCTCCGAATTACTCATCGCCTCTAGACAGCAGACTCAGAATGCTTATTCATGAGCTGTGAGCATCATAGCTTCTAATCCCAGCTATTCCCTGGGTAGGTTGCGTTATTCAGCGAGGATAACCACGCTTGCCAACTGTCACTGGGCAAGGCGAGAAGCAACGAATAATGAAGATTTTAAATACTTGGCAAAATAGAGAAATGTGTTACAGCAGAAATCTTAATTGATCAGCTAGAGAGCAGTGCATTCACTCTCACAGTTGGAATTTATGGGACTGGGACTGAATAAACGGACTGTGGTGTCTTGGGCGGTGCTGCCTTACTGCGTGAGAGGAAAAGTCCGCAATTGGGGTTGTGAGAAGGAAGGTGGTGGAATGGAAAGAGCAGGTGGAAGAGTCAGGAGGACCTCATTTCAGTTGGCTCTGCTGCTCGTCACCCTTGTGGTTTTAGGCTTATGTTAAATAAACGGAGCTTTAGTTTCTTCCTGTTTAAAATTGGCATCATCATAATTCTTGGCTGATAATTTTGATGATTATGTGGGCAAAGCTTCTAGAACAATGCCCAGCACAGACAAGGTACTTCATAAATATTTGTTCCCTTCTTCAATCTACCTTCCTTTTTGCCATAGTTCCAGCCTTGGGGGAAGAAGGGGTGAGAAAATAAACAAACATACTTTCTAGAACAAATGGCTAGCTAGCATGAACCGATTTTACAGAGAAATGCTTAAAGGAGTTAAAACCCCAAACTCAGTGTTCTGCTTATTGTTGCAAGTACCAAAATCCACAGGCATTATAAATCCAAGGCCATTTCCTCAGATGTTCAAAAAAAATTCATCTGTACTGACTTTGCTTCTTTAAAAACCCTCCCTTCCCACAGCTGTTAGAAGTGCTACTCGTTTATATTTTGTGTGGGATCCCTTATTTCAGATATTCAAAAAAAATTCATCTATACTGACTTAAACCCTCCCTTCCCACAGCTGTCAGAAGTGCTACTCGTTTATATTTTGTGTGGGATCCCTTTCTCAGGTGGTGTCTCGGTGTTTCTGTGACCCAAGCCAAGAATCCCTGTGCCTTGACCACACTGTTCCTTCCTGACAGGCGAACCTGAAACAGGATCGCCTCTGGGCCCACCACCAAGGAGCCGGCCTCCGCTCTGGGTCAGCAGCAGTGCAGGGTGTTGCCAGGCTACGCCACACAACACAAAACCCCATCTCCCTCTGGTTTTCTGGAGCAGCTGTCTCCCGTTCAGCTGTTGA